CTTTATTCTTTAATAACATTATAATATAATATGCATATAATAAAAAAGTGTTTACATAGATTGACTTGATATGATGCCTGAGCTAGAATTAGTTAAATAATCGCTAAAACTACGGATCTCTTTCTGTGGCTGATAGACCTTATTTGGCAAGTTTTAATAGAAATTATTCAAATACAGCCCTACTATTTTCCTGAGCACACACGTGAATGAATGAAACGGTTCATATAGGCAATTTATGTATAACTCAATAAACAATTTATGATAAGTTAAATGCTCTAAGAAAACTATAGATACCTTGCATAGGTGATACCAAATCAAGCATTAGGAAGATAGTAGTTTAAATTACATCTGTGCGATGCCAAAAAATAGCCACCAGTATAGGGAAAAATGCTTAATCAATCCTAGAATTATAGAGAACTACAGAAACCACAATCCGAATATAGTATACAAGTTTAGAAATGCAAGAAAAAAACGCGTCAACACTAAAACCGTTAGGGATTTAAAAAGCTAAGAATAGTTTTCCACAATAATGAGATTAAGTGCAAGATGAGAGGTTTGAGAGCTTAAACCTACTTTGTTGGGCTATTTGCCAAATAAGCCCAGATAAAGCAGTTATTGCTCGGTCGACGAGAGCATTTTCTTCCTGACTAAGCAGTATATCTTCTTGATCCTGTGTATAATTTCTCATATCTATAGAAGGGGGAGTTACTCTAAGAAGGTAATCTAATAGGGATGCCAAGTCAGTGAGAGAACAATTTGCCAATGTTTCTTCAGCGTGCTCCAAAGTTGAATCTTTATGAACGGAAGTGAGATCAGCCTGATCAGTGACTTCTTGAGCGCAGAGAGAAATCCGATTGTTCGAAAGTGCAAGTACCGTTTCGTATATGTACTTGTCCTTAGGATAATCAGTTATATTACGGTTGAGAGTTGAGCCCCCTGATCTTCCAAGTTTCTTTAACTCTAGGATTTTTCCACATCGGTCAAGAGATTCTGAAGATTCAATTTTAATTTGGTGACAAGTGGGAGAATCAAAGGTAAGCGTCCACATTATTGAAAGGGCTGCTTCCTGTTCAGCAGTAGAGTCCGAAATAAGTAATTTGTTAAGCCTTGGTATAATTCCATAAGAAGCAAGAAGACGTTTGTTATTATCATTTTTGGCCAATTTGTCAAGTCCTATTAACAAGAATATGATATAATTGACAAAAATGTGTGGCCTATAATAAAGTTAAAAATGCATAAACTTGAACGTCATAAGAAGCAAATTATGCAAGGGCCTTGAAAGCCATATATGTTTTGGACATAATACAAATATTTGCTGTAAAAAAGTTCTACTTATTAACCTTACCTTACTAATGATGCCATTAGGTAAGTAATCATTATATAA